AACGGCCTCAACGACAAAGAGTTTAGAAACGGAGGGCTTTGAGTACAAGGGAATAGCTGGCCCACCGCCACTTATTCGACGGTCTCGGCGTTGTTGAATGAAGGACCTAGATAGAACTCATTGAGTTCGGCATTGGCTGGTGCAAGGAAGTTTGGTGTTATATATGGCTGAGTGAGGAGTTTCTGGAAGTCTTAGAAACTGAAAGAGTCACCAGATTGGGATTGTGAAGCAGCCATTAGGAACGAAATAAAGTTTTGTTGAAGTTTGCTTGAGAAACGTAGTAGAGAAGCAAGAAGATGAACAATAATATTGCGAGAGAGAAGCGCGAAATAATGAGGCGTGATTTAGTAGTGCGATGAAATGGCGTGTATTTGGGGGTTATAAAGGTTTGCAACGTCGCTCCTTTTCAGGCTATGGAAGAAATAATGATTGAAATTCTTGAGAATTTTAAATGTTGCTGGGAAACACAAAGTAAATATGGCAAAAATTAATAATTGGTATTAATTTTGCCATATTGGGGGGTAATTGTTGACACGCTAAAAGTGCAGCCCAAATCGAATAGCTTAAAGAATGAAGTCCAACTGGATAATTCAGGATAAAGGTCCGAATAGGGTTATCAATGAATGCAGTGGAAGCCCACGAAAGCGATAACACCATCGCCCAAACTTGCAAGACGTCCAAGATCTAAGCGAATGAAGTGCCTTGCAGTCGCCCAGAGTTATGACCCTGTTCTCGCCCAAACTTTCGAATCGCCCAGGATCTTAGCAAACATAAGATGTAATGGTTATCCAAAAGTGCAGTTATCGAAACAGTTATTAAGTAATCTTATCACGTTCCACGATTCAAGAATGTTTAGTTGAGGACGGTTGAACGACAAAGAGTAGTGACAACTGTTAGAGATGGCAGTTCCACGATAAGTTGGCCACCATAAAGAAAGTGGGCAGTTATAAAGCAATTAAACGGTTGATCATGAAGAGATCATCAAGGGAATATAAAAGGAAGAAAAGACATAGAGCAAAGGACCTCGAATCAAACACTCTCAAACAGAGAATATGTAATTTCAATTCCTTAGTTTAGACTTAAAACGTTTCTTTTCAGTACTCGTGTGCTTGCGCCTCTTGGATCACCAATAAAACACCCCTTTTTGGGATTTTGTCTCAAGAGGTTTGTTCCTTACACAATCGTCTGATCCCTTTTTAATTGTTAGCGACTATCCGCGTGAAACAAATACTTATATGACTACCCGAGCAACCCTCATTCATGGGCTAGGCATGAAGACAACCCAAATGTTTTGTATTAGTTCGTGTACCCATAACTATTTAAATATTATTTTGTTGCTAAGAATTAGAAATTCTAATTCTATACCACGAAGATTACTAAAATCATTGTAAAGGAAATTCTAATTCTATACTACGAAGAGTACTAAAATCATTGCAAAAGAATAAAAGAACTCACAAAATTTATAGATGTTCGCTTCAATGTGAAATTATGTTCTAATCCACCATTACAATAATTCACAATGATGAAAAGAAATTTATAAGAGAAAAGTTACGTCCCCTATTTTCTTTACCCTCATTCTCTTTTGATGATGATTACAAAAATCCTCAATTCCCTATTCATAAAAAATGTTAAAGCAAAATTGGAATTACAAGTGTGAACTTCCTAAATTTTGATTCAGGAGCATATTGGCCCCTCCCAACCCACGTGACTACCTCACCGATAAGATTGTCCAATGCATTGACTTTGTGTAGCTAAAATAATTACGTTTCATAACTTAATATTTGTATCTATTACATTCCATCTACACAGACTTAATAATAAATATTAGGGCTTTAACCTTCTAAACAAGTACTTTATTAAAGTCCTAATAAAAGAGATCTCGAGTGTCATTCATTAAAAAATGAAAGGTCTAAAATTGATATCAAAGTTTGGACAGTTATTGTAGAAGCCAACTTATCATTTTCATGTGTTAAATTTGGAGCACAAATCTTCTCTTATATAATCATTTCTTTGTTCTAAATTTTGTTGGGAATATATTCAGGTTGAGTATTTCTATAATATTATAACTCCGAAAAATTGAAGAAATTTTTTTTTAGAAGGTGACAACTAGAATAATTTTAATGGAACTTAACAATCTCTCGAGTGTCTTCTTCCACTCGCCTAATAAAACCAAGACGGAAGGCGTAAATTCGTTGTTTTACTCAAACTTACATGTTGCAAGTCCATGCCAAGCCTTGAGCCCCCACAACAGCTTTAATAATGTAACGTGGTATACATGCTAATAATAAAGAGTAATTCTATTTAATACTTGTGTCTAACATCATTTTAGATATCAATACATTATAGGACCAATTAATTAGTCCCTATATCTGACGGAATGCTTGGGAAATTACTCTACAGATCCCAAGGATGTGTCGTTAGAAAATAGGTAAAAGTTGTGAATCTTACAAAATGTGTGAATATAAATAGAATTTGACCAGTTTATGTGCAATTATAAGTTTTGAAAGCATATTAAAATCGAAGTGAAGAAAAGATGAACTAAAGTAATCATTTTATTATAATACTTGCAAATTTTGACGCTTGCAATTACCCAATCATCAACCTTGATTAGACGATCACAACTTGAAAATGATGCCAACATTGATTAGCTAACACGGATCAACCAATAAAAATAAAAGGCAAGTACTTAAGTGGCTCATGTACCCAGAGCCAGTCCTGTGGTTTTCGGGGCCCGAGGCAAGCTTCATAAATTAGGCCCCCCAAAATCAAACGAAAATGCAAAATTCAATATAACTTATTGCTAACTTAAAACTTAGAGGTAAAACAACAATCATATAAGCCGACTAGGCTACAATATATTCAATGATAAGTTAGAGCAAGTCATTACTTACTTGAGACGTAGAATTTCGACTAAAATTATGGAATCACACAATGCGCACCTTGAAAATTCCACCATCACAATTCACAAGCCTGAAATAAAAATTTAACATCAAACACCAATACAAACATACAATGACCTAATGAAATGCCAATTTATTGCTCAATGAAATGCCAACGACCTAACCTTTCTTAGGGATGCAGCGTATGCTTCACAGACTTAGCTCGTTGATGATTAAAAATTGGATAATCTAACACCTTTTCTCTTATCTAATAATCAATTTTTCTACCAACACACTTTGGATTCTTCCTTCTTATCACCAACTACTGAAACCATATAAGCAATTTGAAAATACAATTCGAAGTTACAAAAGAAATACTAGAAACTTACATTAGGTGGGGTAGTGAACTTGGGAGACCGTCGGTCCAGTGTAGGCTTGAAGGAACAGATCTAGGAGACCGATCAACTGAAAAGCAAGAACTTAGCTGTAGTGGAGAGGGTGAATCAACTTCAGATTTAGAAATTCCCCTGCTGGGCTTGCTCACCCGAGGAGTAGCTGGTGATGCCTTTTTGTTGGGAGTCTTAGATAAAGAAGAGTGAAGACCTATGAAAATGAGAAAATCGTAAGTAGTCTGCCCAAAATAAATCAAAGCCCATAGATCATATCTACGAAAACATCCAGTGCCGTGATATATTACGAAATTGCTATTGAAAAGTTAGGGATTGAGTGAAATAACATAAAAATTCAAGAATTAAGGCAATAAGGCAATAAGGCATAAAACTTTGAAAATTCGAATCCCATCAACAAGAAAAAATAGGCCAAAAAGCGGGAGATAGACAAAACAAAAAAAGCCCAAGAAAACCTGAAATGAGATTCACTTACCTGGATTTGGTAGACAAGGTTGGAAAGAAAGTTGGAAGATGAGTTCCGCAGTGGCCGTCACCGGTCCGGTGGAGCGGAGAGGTGAGAGGCGATGAAAATGAGGCCCCTTAGGGTTTCTTCCTTCGATTGATTTGAGAAAAAAAAAAAAGGGCCCAAGGAAATGAGGCCCCCTTGGGTCTTGGGCTTGAGGTGCAGGCCTCAACCGCCTCGCCTCAGGACCGGCCTTGCATGTACCCATGAGCTATCAAAGTTCTAAACCTCATATAAAGGATTTCAATCATTCATAATTAGTACTCATTCACTCTTACGTATTTTAAATGATCTATCTTGCAAATTCTAAAGTTCTCTCTCGAGCTCGACTATATTCTGACCTTATTAATAATTACATTGCCACCAAATAAAGGGTTATACTACATATACATTATGGTATTCATAAAGGTGTCCATAATGTACACGTGGAACTATCCCCAAATAAATTGATTAAAAAGTGTCACATCACTAATTAACATCAATATTGTCACAATAGAGAAAATAGGCATAATGAAACAAATTAAAGTCAAATAACCAAATTGAAGGTCACCTAAATGTTCGAGAGAAATGCTACTTCTACATAATGCGTTGTCCATAACGATATTCATCCCCTTCAAGTGGAGAGGACCCATTTCGAATAAATTATATTTTAATGGAAGTGGATCCTCGTTTATGTGAGAGAGTGGCATCGTTGTGGACATCCAGTGTGCGTGTAACATCACCAAAGTTCAGTGACCTTACCGTCCTTTGTTCCCTTTGAAGGTATTTAGCCCTTGTTTGAGTCTCATTCTTTTGAAAAAATACATTTTTCAACAGTGTTTCGACATCATTTCAACAGCACATTCTTCAAATAAAAAATATTATACATAAATTCAACATTTTTCTTTATTTTTTAACCACACATTTTCCATCAATACACTATTCAAAAATTCAATCTTCCAAAAAAAATGGGGCTCAAACAAGGACTTATTTTGGTTTAAAAAATAATAGACTTTTAAGTAGACGATAGAGGAAGAAAAAACCATAACTTGTCACTTGATCAACTCACCACTGCATCTCTTCACCACCACCACCATCACCATCACCATCACTCCCACCCTTCTCCCTCCTCTATACTGAACTCGCACCGGAGTGTCCGTTGCAGCCAGCTCTATCGCCGGTGCCTCCGCGGCAATTATCTTAGAAAATCAAAATTTTAAGAATTTAACAATGCGACGTGGCTGCAGATTCTCATTCCACGTCACATTGGTGATAACGGCCATCACTTACGTCTACTTCTCGACAGTGCTGGTTTTTATCGATGAATGGTTGGGACTCGGGTCCTCACCCGGCATGCTAAACTTCACCGTTTTCACATTGCTAGCCTTCGTGTGCGTCTCCAGCTACCGTCTCGCTGCCTTCACTGACCCGGGTCGGGTCCCCGCCTCCTTCGTGCCCGATGTCGAGGGGTCCGATAATCCTATTCACGAGATCAAGCGCAAGGTTCCCTATTTTGTTCCATCATTCAATTGTTATTTCAATCTCTCATACATTTGCATTGCATGTATATTTATTGGTAACTACTGTCCTTTTAGATGCATTTCTTGATAATTTAAGTGAGACTGTTCAGGGCTATTTCTAAGCAATTCATTACTTTTGAATCGGTCATTTTTTTGGTTAGTATATCATTCTGCTTATTTTAATTTACATTCTTTTTTCAATTAGAAGACTCTTAGTGCGTGTGTAGTAGTTATTTATTTATTGTCAATCTTTCATGAGTGAATTCGATTTTTTTCCTTTTGATGAAATTAATAAGCTGTTAACCCACTAATTTAGTAGCTTCAGGGTTAATAGCTTGACCAATGATTGCATTAACGAGTTGTCAATTGGCTGAGATATATTAATTAATTTTGATTTCTAATTCGTAGAAGTTTAACAGTTGATGTTTGTGCCATAAAATTCCGTTCCATTTATGCTGTGTTGAGAAAATCTTCATGAAATGTTAATCTTTTTATTGGTTTTGTGTTACATTATTGTTTATCAATCAACTTCTCCCAAATATGACACGTGGAAGATGTGGGGGCGGGGAGGGGGGAGCCGCAACCGTCTAACGGTGATGCTTTTGTCCCTTTTTGTTGTGTTGATTTAACTTTTTCTCACCGACTTAACACGTGGTTGCACGCATTCTCATTTACGAATCAAGTTTTTCGTTAGGGATGGTGATCGGGATCTTAATGGTAACTTCTCCGTACGTTGATCAGTTTTGTCGTTTCCATGTTTAGTTATAAGATTGATTCATTTCTCTCATGATCTCTACTTTTAATGATCAATTACTGTCTGTGCTTATTAGAAAATGAAGCTCAAGCCCAAGCCCAAGCCCAAGCCCAAGCCCACCTAGATGACAAGTTGGGCCAGAAATTTTTGGAAGCAAGAGAAGGGAAGGTTCTCGAAGGTAGAAGAGAGGGCTGAGGAATATAGATTAGTTGGCATTCTGTTATGTTTAGCTGAATTAGTTTCTGTAGAGATATTTTTCTTGTATGGCAAGTTGTATAGATTTAGTTATGCAATATTCTCTTGTATTTTATATAAGTAGGGGCATTGTACAGAGAAAAACACACGAGAATAGATCCAATCACAAAATTCTCTCAACTCTGTCTTGAAAGCTTTCCTGTTTGTTCATCCCTTTACCTTTTTTTCACAACTTTTCTTTTATGGTATCAGAGCCATAATGGTGGATACTAAAATTCCTAATCCAAATTCCATATCAACTCCAAATCCAAATCCAAACCCCAATGCAAATTCATCTGGTGAATCGGCAGCTCTTTCTTATAATTCCATTTTACCAAGCAGTCCTTATTACATTAACAGCAATGATTGAAGTGGTTCTGTGTTAATAACTCATGTGCTGGATGCAAGTAATTACCACACTTGGGCTAGATCAATGAAGAGAGCTCTCAGGATAAAAAAATAAGTTAGGTTTTATTGATGGCAGCATTTGTGAACCTTCAGACCCAAATGATCCTCTCATGGAGCATTGGTTACGATGCAATGATATTGTGATCACTAGGATGCAAAACTCAATGACATTAGATATCAAATGCAGCACAACATATGCAGAAACAGCTCATGAACTCTAGTTGGAGCTTGAACAACACTTTGCCCGGCAGAATGCACCAAGAATATATGAAGTTAAGCAAGGTATAACAGCTCTAGTCCAGAATCAAGATAATGTAAATGTTTATTTCTCCAAACTTAAGACTCTCTTGGATGAGTTAATAAATTATGAGGCAATACCTAGTTGTTCTTGTGGAGGATTAAAGACTGTGTTGCAAAACCAGCAGAGAGATTAGGTTATTAAGTTTTTAATGGGTTTAAATGATTCATACAAGGGACTTAAGGCACTATTGATCAAACCTTTCCCTAGTTTGAATGAAGCATCCTCCATTATACAATAAGAAGAGAAAAGAAGGCAGATATCCTCTGATGGAATTATCAGTGAATCTATGGCACTCTTAACAAGGGGCAACTTCAGGAATGGATGGAAGAACATGTCTGCTCAAAGAAAGGATAAGTACTACTGCACTTACTGCAAGATGGCAGGACATTCTCTAGAGAGGTGTTTCAAGGCTAATCCAAATAAACCAACGTGCTCTCACTGCCAAATGCTTGGTCATGCAATAGACAAGTGTTTCAAATTACATGGGTATCCACCAAGCTACAAACCAGATGGGAGAAACAAAATCTCAGGTTCTTTTGCTAATCAAACTTCTGCACTTCTGCCTTTTGTCCAAGAGCATGTGAGTGACAAGGCCCAAAAGTCTATAACTCAGGAGCAATATGCTCAGCTTATGGCATTACTCAAACCACAAAGTCCTTAGACATTCATTTCCTCTGCAAAAAGCGTCCAAACTTTTGCTCAGCCTCACTCTAATGATGGTAAAATACCCAAAATTTCTGGTATATCTCTATGCCTTTTAGTTCATAGTACAAAAGTCACCGATATTTCCACTATTCCTTGGATATTAGATACGGGGCCACAGATCATATGATCTGTTCAGCCTCATTATATACCACAATCAATGCAGAAGTTTCTTATTCTGTAGCACTCCCAAATGGTGAGGTTGTACCTGTCACACACATAGGGACAATGAAATTTTCAACATCCTTAATTTTGGAGAATGTGTTGGAAAAATAAGTAAATGGGTCACTTTTGGCATAAGTTTGAGTGGGACCCGTTGGTCCGATTCGAAATATCAAAGTTGATTTGTGTTCTCCTCCGTAAGAGTATCGAAACCATATATTTACTTGCCAAAATTGATTAATGGATGAATGAAAAATTGGAGCTCAAAGTTGGCCATTGGAAGATGGTTTATGTGGGAAAAGTAACATTTGTCCCACATAGGAACATGAAGAAAGCATGAACCACTTTATATATGCCTACACTTTGGAATGGTGTAATATGTGTAGCATAGAGGCTCTCTCCATGTGCACGCGCAGGGGGGTTCAAATCTCGGATCGAAATAGCTTTCGGACCTTGAACTTGGGTGCGAACGTGACTTGCGCACACAAATGTTGGACCAAACAGGGCAAAATTCGCTCTTTCGGAGAGCCCACGTTTTGCAATTTTTTTTTTTTGCTTTCGCTAATGACTTTTGAGTTTCTGAAACTACAAAAACTCCAATGGACTCCCAATGGTCACAGTGTTAATGGGCAGTAACTCCAATGGTCACAATGTTAATGGGCAGTATGCTTATAAAAAGGCTCATTCTCTAGCAATCTAACACACTCGAAAATCTTACCTCCATTTCTGCATACACAGTTTCTTATTTTCTGCATTCCTTGTCCAATAAGGTCTTGTTCTTGTAGTGATATTGTTCAAATACTAGATCAGTTCGTCAGAGTAGTATCTGCGGTGCTCAGATTCTACTATATACCGTTGTATCCTGGAAACAGACGCTCGGATTAAAACTCAAGCACGTACGGTGAGAGGGCGAATTTGTTTTAAGGACACTGTGTTTATACAGGCCTCGGGTTAAAAGTTTATATGAAATTATAAGCATGTCGTTAAGTTTTTTTTGTTGTTCTCTGAAATTTCTGTTAATTTTCAGCTTTTCCGTTTAGATTTATTAAATTAATGTGTTTTACATAACTTAATATAATTTAGTTCTAAATTAGATTAATATATTGTGGTTTATGATAATTTAGTTTATTGTGTAATTAACTAATATTATAAACCGGCATGAGAAAACCCGGTATTTAATCTTATTGTATGCGTAAAATCAAGTTTGTGCAAATTCGGTATATAATCTGTGCATATACAGTATATTGCATATACGATAAGTGCAATTTCGGTATCTAAAATGCATATACGGTACCCGTAAATTCGGTATCATTCCACCAACATAATTTCAAACAAACTTAAAACAGATTCTATACACATTGGAAGTAAATAAATTGTTTATTTTATTTTATTGAAATAAACAAGTTATTTATTAGAAACTAATATTTATTTTATTTTTAGAAATGGCTACCGAACCAACCAACATGGATGTGACCCAAACTGCTCCTGCTGAAAATCAGGCTGTGGGCTCTACTGTGGCTCAAGGGCCAAGCTCCGTTATGGCACAGACTGTGGCTAAGTTGCCAAGTCGTGTTGTAAGTCAAACTATGGCTCCAACTGTGCCGGTTAATCATAGAGCAAAATTGGGGAAATTCAATGGCTTGAATTTCAAGAGGTGACAGCAGAAAATACTATTTTATTTGATCACCTTGAATGTTGCGAGATTTTTGACTGGGACTACTCCAAAACTCAATGAGAGTGAAGGAGATGTGCAAGCAGTTAATGCACTTGATGCGTGGAAGCATTCGGACTTCTTGTGCCGAAACTATATTATGAATAGCTTAGCAGATTCGCTGTACAATGTGTATAGTACTATGAAAACTGCTAAGGAGCTGTGGGAGTCTTTGGATCGAAAATATAAAACTGAGGATGCTGGAGCTAAAAAGTTCATTGTTGGCAGGTTCCTAAACTATAAGATGGTAGACTCCAAAATAGTTATCAGTTAAGTGCAAGAATTTCAAGTGATTCTTCACGAGATTCATGCCGAAGGGATGAGTTTGAGTGAAACTTTTCAAGTGGCTGCAATTATTGAAAAGTTGCCCCCCATGTGGAAAGATTTCAAGAATTATCTGAAACACAAACGAAAAGAAATGAACGTTGAAGAACTAATTGTTAGACTTCGAATTGAAGAAGACAATAAAAGTCCCGAAAAGAAGTGGTTCAATCCTAGTGTGGGTAAAGCCAATGTTGTGGATCATGGTCAAAGTAATAAGACCCACCAAAACAAGTTTGGACCATCCGGTGGCAAAGGGGCAAAGCTAGGACCGAAAGGTGGAATTTCTAAGAAGAAATTTCAAGGAAAATGATTCAATTGTGACAAAGTAGGCCACAAGTCTTCGGAGTGCAGATTGTCAAAGAAGAAGAAGAAAGAAGCAAATATGGT